TGCCCATTACTCTCTTTTGGCAATTTCTCAAGTCTGTGTTTGCAGCCAGAAATGAAAAATATTAAAATTATCAATAATAATTAACTACTGGTGGTAGCACAGTTAGTTACAGATGGAAAGCATTTTGTTTTATCCTTCGTACTTGTTTCACCCATAGACTGTAAATATATTTTCTACAACAACAACAAAATGAATAAATGAAATCACAAAGTCTCATTATATGTTTTAATAATGGCGAAAGTGTTATGCTTCTTGAAATGGCTTTCAAGAAGCATAACACTGGGTAACAAAAAAATATGTTTTGAAAATAGTCCAGGGTTTTTCAGCTGAATTAGACTAATGTTGATGCTCTGAGTCCGAAAATGACCTTGGTTTTGCTCAATCAGGTCAGGATTTTTTGCTACAGAAATATTTTTTTAAATCGATTTGCGTAAAAAACTAATTTCTGCGGATCATCAGCTGAGAAACCCTTGACGTTTGTTCCGTTTTCCTCAAGAAATAAAAGTTAACATATCCAAAGTCATTCAGTTTTTATTTACTCCATCAGATTTGATAAGCAGAATTCCTAATAACGTAGACGTACATAATCCGTAACACTATGGCTGTATCTCAAAAAGTTGACCTGATAGAGCAAAATGCATGTGATATTCGGACTCAGAACTCCAACATTAGTCTAAATCAGTTGAGAAACCCCTGACCATTTTTTGGCTGTCAACTTGTGTAATACTTCTTCTTAAAAGCCATTTATTGTCTCACCCACATTTGCAGAGACATTCCTTCAGTGTGTCCCGGGCTGTGTCTGTGTGAGGGGGCGGGGCTAATGGTAGCTGTCAATCATTAGTGAAACAGGTGATGAGAGAGTTACTGAGAAACCTTTGCATAGTCGCTTCATTGTTGTGCCGCACCTTTGCTTTAACTCACTGTAGTCATTAAACTTTGACGGTCACCTGCCAGAGGCCTTCATCGGACACTTTATCATCAGCGATAACTAAAACCTTTGATACCAGAATAATAAAACCAGGTCAGGTTACTTCATCAAAGGGAGTATTTACTTTCACTGGTTATTTCAGATATGGTGGTTATAGAGACATGTTTGAAGGTTCGCTAGTGGTGTTGGTAATCATTAAGTACTGATATAGATATTATTCACAAAATAAAGAATCAAATGTGCGGCAGTGTCTTCACAATCAATCCATCACATTTATTTTAAGGCAAAATTTCTTTATTCCTCCCATGGTGTTAGAGTCAGTAGGAATGAGGAGCAGACAGCACAAGATAAATTAATAATAACTCTATACTAAAATAAAAATCTCTAACTCTTGCATAAAAAGTAGCAGCGTAAAATCTCTATATTTAGAATTTGAAGGAAAAAAAAACTCAGACTTAAGAAGGATGAAGAAGCAAGATTTATGCTAAAGTCAGCATGAGAGTAGACACTTGTGGTTCCTTAATGCACATTTTGACATATAAACACATTGTATAAACATTTCTGAAAAAAAGAAAGAAACAAAAAACACAAATGCTTCAAAATTAGTCATATGGATTGCAAAATAAGACAGTTTCAACCTGGAAACTGTCTTCAGACATTGTCTTGTTGTCCGACAGTAAAGTTTGACCAAGTGACAGGTCAGATCAATGCTTTTGCTAAAACATATTTCTGTATATTTCTGTACAAGCAACCGCTAAAGTCCTGAATGCTAGTTACTTAAAAAAAAAAATGCAGTGTATCAAATAAACAACACAGCATTCTCGTTTTTGCCTTGTGTGTCATTGCATTTGTTAGTAATATATTTACTGCTTTCGTTAACACACAAGCCCACAGCAGAGAGGGAGTAGTGGGGGATGGGTGTAGGGTCAGAGAGTGTTTGTGTCTGTGTGTGTTTGTTCTGTCACCTTGTTGTATTCAGGACAATTTTCTCTCTGTTGACATTATAACGCCCTGTTCTCGTTCTCTCTAGGGCGTGTACTTTTATAGACCATGCATGAAATCATTAATTGCTGTGTTGAAATAATCCCGTGCTGAGGTAATGTGATCGGAAAGAAGGAAGTTCACGTTTAGGTTATCTGTCTTTGTGGATTGGTTAAGTCCCAGTCACATGATCAGAGCCACAGATACAACTTTTTTCTGGTTAAATGAGTAAAACATGCCCCATAAGCAGCGCATGGTTTTGGGAAAGTTATGTACTGTTTTGTAGTCAATATGATTCTGACTAAGGCGAGTATTGGAGGCATAAAAGCAAAACGGATATAGTGTAGGTGGAGTGCTCTAGGCATTAACACACCCGTTAATGTCTCTAGGTCACAATACGAGCACACACACAAGAGTTTTGTGTATTCATTTATTTGGCGGGGACAATGTACAGTAGTCATAGTTACAAAGTCACAAAGCAAAAGATGCGGCATACTAAAGTAAAGCTGATTCTCAACTCCTGTCTCTGGTTGAGATTTTCATGAATTCTGTACAAAACAAATCAGACTAAACTGCTAAAAACGTAAGTGAATTTTATTTCCTGTTATTTTAAAGTTTTTAAAAGCAGATTTACAGACTTGTTCAGATATACAGAAAATGTCAATTACTTTTCAAATCGTGAAGAGAGAGTGAAACTTTTTGAAGGCAAGCAGGTGTTGGACACGCCCATTCTCACATCCTGTAGCTTCCTGATTGGTCGAAATTCTAAAAATCCTTGAGGCCCCGTGTAATTGTGTTGTCTTTTCTCATTCAGGAAATTTAACTCTTTAAAGCCTAGCGTACATTGACAGAGTAACTGGAGACAACTATTTCCAAGGCGGCTTTTGGCAGCTGAGAGTAGATGATGGAGATGATCAGTTGCCGAAATTGGTCGATGTGAGCGCTCTTACAACTGGAGATAAACAGTCGATCTCCGGATTCAGTCAGTTGCCCGTGTTCTACTTTTCGGCAACTAGTTCTACTCCGGAGATATCACCCGATGTGCGCGCTCCAACAACATGTGTGTATTGCGTGCAGAAAACACACTGTAGTTGAGGCCAGTTGCTGTCGATGAACGCGCTGTTATTCCAGAGACTGGCCAGATACGGGAGTTGCCCGTTTCCGCCAGATTGTCGATGTGTGCGGGGCAGCAACTCAAAGGCGACGGATATAATCAGTTGCCAGTCCGATGTACGCTAGGCATAACTCATGATATTGTTGAAAAATACATGCTCTACATAATAGTCGGCAATTCATTCAAGGCCAATTTTTTTTACAATACAGTGTTCCATGGTCATACATACACTTTAACTTGAAAATGAAATACAATTTAAGTGTCTGACATCACATTTAAAGTCTTTATTGTCTTCCCTGAACATCAAGTTTGAGAAACATTTAAAACATTTGCCTTGGACCAAAACATGAATATGAAAAAAAGCATTTAATTGCGCCTGCGAACAGACAGTATTAGCGATAATAACCTTGGCCCAACCACAAAACTCATTAAGTAGAGCGGATATTTGCCTTTCAGAATGCCCATATAAGGCGTTGGCAGGTAACACACCGTTTACCTGTCTAGAGGTTAATTAATGAATATACTAAAAGCCTCAATTAATTAACCATCTATGATTACTAAACCCATTATTATAATACATGTGACAGTCTAAATGCCTGGTGACTACACACACAGCTGAAATAATATTCAGTCTTTGTAACAAGGGCTGGATTTACCTTTCAATACATCGGCCCATAACGACGCACAAACAAACACACATGAGTCACACACAGTTTATCTTTCTTACCCCAGGATCCACCCAGCGGCAGAAAATGCATTGTTATTATCTGTTATGAAAGGATTCAGGACGCAGCAGCTGTCTTTTGTGTATATATATTAATACTTTACAAGATGATACTAATTCAAAATGGAAATATCATTATTCAAGAGAGTATTTTGTGAAGATGAATGAACAACAGGAGTCGTTGTGCGATGGGAGGCGGTGCATTCATTCAAAAACATTACGGTCTAAACCGGGTCAGAGCGAAGACGTCATATTCGGCTCTGTAGTCCTGGTGATGGTTCCCACGGTGATGGAGGCTCGGACCGAGTCAACAGGGGCGACCCGACAGATGGACTCAGAGAGAGGCTGCTGAGATGAAAAACAGAAAAGTCTAATATGGAATGTTCAGTATGTATTAACTATAATGTGTACAACTATAGGCTGTAACTTAAAGTAGCAATTTGTAAGATTTTCATGTCAAGCCATCCTTAAATTGCCATAATCTGTCAAAAAGCATTTATAAACTACTTCTTGAAATAACAGTAGTTAAACCGAGATATTCGACTTTCAAAATTAGTTTTACAGCCCCTACATTTTGTTATTGTTTTCATTTCGATGTCCCGCCCTCCATCGTTTTACCAATCAGAAAGTCCATAATCCGGGTTTCCAGAACTCACCGCGTTGAGCTAATTTTACTGGTAAAGTAACATGTGGCTGCAGAACTAAAAAAAGTCTCGAGGCAAAGCAACAAATTCCAGTTGTCAAGCATCTGCTGACTAACTTTATTCACCAGTGTTTCCTCTCAGACAGTTCAATTTAATTCAATTTCATCCCCTTTATCAATCCATTTCTGAATCAGGGCAGTTGGCAATCAAAGCGACCACCCGGTCCTCATAGCACCGTCCCCTCACTGATCCTCCTGCAGGTGGTGTGTCCCCGGGAAGATGGCTGCTCCGTCAACGAAGACACGGCCTTGGTCTTTCAGCGGAGGGCTTCAGGCAAAGTGGGGTTAAGTGTGTTGCTCTGGGACACAACAACAGCAGACATCAGTGGGAGCAGATGTCTGATCCAGTGTTGATGCTTTAGAAACACAATAGCAAGAAAAGCCAATGGCCCCATCACTAACAATAACCATTCAAATTGAATTATAGCTTGGCAGAACTTAAAACAAAACCTCCAAATACCCAACGGATGGAATCAGTTGGTTCAAATTCTTTATTAATTAAATAAAGCAATGAATTGAGAACATAGAATATCCTCAAGATCCTCATCCCATGGAGCATTCGGCCCCTCCTGCCCCTGGTCTGTCCCCTGCATTCGGCCCCTCCTGGCCCTGGTCTGTCTCCTGCATTCGGCCTCTCCTGCCCCTCCTGCCACTGGTCTGTCTCCTGCATTCGGCCTCTCCTGCCCCTCCTGCCCCTGGTCTGTCTCCTGCATTCGGCCTCTCCTGCCCCTGGTCTGTCTCCTGCATTCGGCCTCTCCTGCCCCTCCTGCCCCTGGTCTGTCTCCTGCATTCGGCCTCTCCTGCCCCTGGTCTGTCTCCTGCATTCGGCCCCTCCTGCCCCTGGTCCGTCTCCTGCATTCGGCCCCTCCTTCCCCTGGTCCGTCTCCTGCATTCGGCCCCTCCTGCCCCTGGTCCGTCTCCTGCATTCGGCCCCTCCTGCTGGCCCCTGGTCTCCCGGTATCTCGTCCATGCATCAACATTGTGCCTATTGATAATTTAAGAAGATTAATCTTGTCTTTGTGGTAGAATTAAAAGTATTGACTTCTTCTCTATATTGTCTGGTACAGAAGAGCCCAATACATTTAATTGAGCCTTTTATGTTACTTTTGACAGAAAAATCCCAAAAAGTGCCAAAAATGCGAGAAGCAAGGAACAGGCGAGTAAAATGGTCAACCCCTGCAAACCCATTCCTTTTTTAGGAAGTGTCTTGCTCATTTCCACCTGTTGGGGTCGGACGTGGCTTCCACCAGGACAGATTTATTTCCCAGTTTGATTAAATTGGAGTTACATGTGTTCCCTATATTTCTTCGAGGGATATATGTTTTTCAAATGAGTCTGTTTGTTCCGGATAGAGTACGCAGAAACGTCAGTCTGGCCTGACGTTAAAAGTTTCATATCTGGACTTGTCAAATCTAATATCCCTCATGGCCTGAAAAAGAAAGCAGTTTGGAAAGTGGCTCAAAATGAACGTGAATAATGTTGTGCAATAAGAGTTTGTTATTGCTACAGATAATTTGATTACCTACTTCCTCCTTCGGCTGTGTAAAAATCACACACACACACACCAGCTTCAGCAAATGACGTAAGTGGTTTAAAAACAAGTCCAAATGAGAAAACGTTTTATGGCTGTGGTTTTGTGACTCAGCAGAGGAGCAGCTCAACTTCCCATGAATGTCTTATCTGAACAATGTGCGACTGGTTGGGTTAGTTTGGGCTAATGTCTTGCTATAAACAACATTCGCATGACAAACAGTTTACTTAACTGTATTTTAAAATGATATAACATGCAATACCTTTTTAACAATCTGTTCTGGGTCAAAAGTTCATTTGTGCAACATGGACAAAAAATGGGTGTAGCTACAATTTAATCAGTGCATAATTTTACATGGTTGACCACAGATGCAAAAGCTGAGCTACACACACAGTATTAGCAATAACCTCCAAAATGACCTACATGATAGCACTCTAGCATTAGCATTAATAAACTCTGTAAATATGCTGAATTTACAGAGTTTATTCAGCATATTTACAACAAGAGGTAGGTGCTGAGAACCTGGGTCTGGGTCGAATCACAGCGAGAACAGGGCCTTTCCAAGTGGATATTTGGGCATCTGCTCAAATTCCTCCTGGACACTTCCCTGCGGAGGTGGACCAGGATGTACCACCGAGAGGAGGATCTGGGGAAGACCCATTGCTCGCCGGATGTCTCTCAGCTGGAAGTGTGAGTGGATAGGGATGTCCAGGCACCAAACAAACTGAAGTTTTTTGTACTTGTTAAACACCTTTGAACCTTTTTATAGTCATGGGGATTAAGGACAAATACTGATATATGTATGTGTACTTTTATGTGTGTGTGCTAATTATTTCAAACTGGGCCAAAGGGGCGACAGTGGCTCAGTTGGTAGAGCATTGGCCTTTTACCCTGAAGGTTGTTGGTTTGAGCCCACCACAAGACCTTCTCCACTGACTCCCACTGGTGTCTGCTGTCGTTTTGTCTTTGGGCAAGACACTTAACCCCACTTTGCCTGAAGTCCCCGCTGAAAGATCCAGCCTTTACTGTCACTGTCAGAGCAGCCTCCTGTGGACTTCCTGCAGGAGGATCAATCAGGGGCTGGTGCTACTGACTGCCACCCTCCAATCCCAGAAATGGATTAAGGGGAAGAAAATGGATGGATGGATGTACCAAAACACATATGTCTGTATTTGCTCTGATTTAGGGATTGGTCATACGCTGCAAATGGACACAAATATGGTAACTTGTAACAATAATACACTAACTTTATCCACCATTGCTTCCAGCCAGATTGACACAGTTGTGATGCTTTGAAACACTAGTGATACAAAAGCATGACAAGCTTCCCAAGGCTCCATTTCTTCTGTAACAAAAACCATTCAAATTGAATTAAAGCTGGGCAAAAATATACGACAATACGTCTAATTGAATATGTGAAATTCAATTCAAAATGTAGACCCAGCACTTTTTTCTACCTTTATTCTGTTAAAGTCATGGCGTGTTTGCTTTACACAGTACACTCTCATTACATAACATCCCACCACTCTCTGGACTTTTTTGACTCACCGTGTTTTTGTGGCCACGCTGACGGCCGTCCACACAGGGAGCCGTGAGAAGTCTGCACTCGGGGTCGGACGCAGATACGTTTCTTTTGCGTCATCGTTGGGCCTTCCCACCAGGCACCAGCTGAGCCTCCGTGGCCGCACTCTGACTCATGTACCGTTGGACCGTTCGCAGAGCTCTTTTGTTGTTCACCTTTGCACTACTTTCTCCCCGCGGCGACCCAGCAATGCACCAGTGTTTTGCCTCTCGTCCTCTTTTATCTAATGTTGCCGTTAGCTTCCTCTGAAACAATAGGAGGAAGCCGGCGGTCAGAGGTGTCCCGTCCTCTCATGTGGAGATAGCATGTTTCGGACAGCTGCGGAGAAGCCGATCCTGCAGGAAGAGAAGCATCCTGCAGAAGAGATGAGTCTGGATAATGGGGGATTTTCAGTGTTTTAGCTCCCACAAAGCAATTGTTCAAGTTCAACAATGATAGTGAATCTTCCTCAGAACGTCCTGCTGGTTTCATCTACACGTAAGGCAGTCAATATAAACAGAATTGATGATCTACTTTCTATATGGCAAAAGAAAAACTGTAGTGCTTGAAATTAGCAGTGTTCTTATTGAAATCAAAAAGCTATAGTCACTTTTAAATTAATTGTACATATTATACCTTGCACAAAAGACATCTTTTCACTTTTTAACATGGTTTGCCACTTCCTGTTTGCACATTTCCTGTCTTTTTGCACACCCTGAGTGATCCAGATATGACATGTATTTCTCCATTGTGAGATCAATAAAATGTATCTTATCAAGTAGTTCTCTTGTTGATTTGTCTTATTTAACATTTGCAAATATTGGTTAACCAGTGTTGTTAGAGCTCTCATTTCTCAGTAAAAGGTCCTGGGTTTGAATCCTGGTTGGAGCACGGCCTTGAGCGGAGTCTGCATGTTCTCCCTGTGTCAGCATACATGTAGGTATGTATCTTCTGGTCCCCTATAATTATAAACTTGCACAACTCTGGGACCTGAAAAAGAGGTTCTGAAATGTCATCAAGACGATCCTGGTTAGACAAACGTTTCCGACAATTTGTTTTATTTTTTGACAAATCTAATTCAAAAATAGTTGAATATAGTCAAGCAACTATGTCATGAATCATGTTTACCTTTCATTGTAACATAATGCAAATCCATTCTTACGGAAAAGTGGATTTCCTCGCTTCAGATCTGACCGATTTCACCTGATGACCTCTTTTTAAAGCTTTAATGTACAGTATGTATATCAGCCTTTGCAAATTAGTCAAATGACTCCATTACTAATCCAACTCCATCCTCTCATTCCCCCTTTTCTTTCACGAACAAACGCAAATACAGTAACCCTGGTCTCAGTGAAATGGTACAACTACAGCCAGCATTCATGTGTGCATTTTTACGATTTTACACATACTTACGTCTTGTAAATTCATAAAACACACTCACAAAAAGGTCACGATATTGTTGAGGAGAACCTGGAGAATTGGCCCATATTGTCTACACATCTATAAAAACCGGACCTCTCACTCCCATTCGCTGTCGGGACAAGCGTAACCCCAATATAAAGCCACGAATGAAGTCAGACCTGAATCGTAATTTGCGTCGTGGGATGATACGACCACAAATCGTCAACTTTTACCATAGAAAAGAACGAACCGTGACATAGAGATCGTTTCCCTGTCTGCTCCACTGGGACGCCTGTTATAACCAGGTGTGGACAGGGCCTCGATGCCTCCCAATCATTTCGCTCAATAAACCAATAAATGCAAGACAAGCGTGATGTTTTATTTGATCCTGTTATTCACACGGACCAGGTGCTTTAGTCCCGGCTCAATAAAAGCTGGAGTGGACCAAAACATCTGGGCCGGTTTTATGGCCTGGTTCCAGCACTTGGGACTAGCCCTCTCCAGCGCGGTCCAGTGAGCTGCTTTAACAGAAGTGCAGCTCTCCAAAATAAACTCATTATGAAAACAGATGTGATTCAAAAGCTACAAAGCAAGATGTTCGATATTAAAGCTGTGGAACATACATTTCGAGCAACATGCATTTCAACTATCCAAGAAAATCCATGTAACTGGTTCCTCGCTCTCAAAACTTATTTTCACGTTCATGTTTAGGCCTCACATTTTTTTATTTGAGGTTAGATAAGTTAACTTTTGAACAATATCGCAATCTTCCGAGTTTCACCTGTGCCTTATCTGTATATTTCTACCCAGCGGCCGTAAAGTGCTAATGGACAACTTTGGCAAAAACATTTTCAAAAGGTATGAAAGAAGAAAGTATACTAAAAATATACTAAAAGGTATATAGGAGGACTTTCTACTAAGACTATTGGTCGTCCCAATTGTTGATAATTCTGGTGATGCGTGCTCGTCAAATGAGACCAGAGATTTTTGTTTTTTATTTTTTATTTTTTAAATGGAGAGGGCAGTTCTGTGCTTCTCATAAATTAAACTAATCCAAGCAAAAATAGCAACAAATGCATAAAAACACACATATATAAAAATCTGATAAACACAGCGGACCACAGGACTCGAATAAAAGGGGGTCTTAAGACAAGACTTATATTCCAATAAGTCACACTCATACACACTCGCAGTTATCTAACAACTACAAAGCAACCTATAGGAATTAATCACTTGTTCCCAATTCTCTGCACAGACAGGTCAACTGTTATGACCCAGGACTAGACTTGTCAAGCTACATTCACATCAATATCACTTTGGGACTGACTTTTCCTTATTGTGCGTTAAATGAGATTACGTTAAAGTGCGTATGAATACTTGAGCTCCTTGCTGGTCTTTTTCAACTGCAGTCATCCAACCAGAAACCTGCGCACGTCTGAGGCTGTCGGTTGAATGTACATGTCTGGCTGAAATGATAGTGATTTAATGGAAAGCCAGAGCTCCTCATGTCTGGGCTGTCTGATGCAGGAGGACTGAGAGCTGAGTGGACGGAGAGGAACAGCTGGAGTCTGACCCGTGTCTGGAGGTCCGCTGTGCTGACGGACGGCTGCTCTAACAGGCCGCGATTGGCTCTAATCTCACCTGAGCTGCTGCACACTGGGTCTCTGCAGCTTCTGTCCCAGACTATTCACTAAAGAAGTTTCTATTGTTATACCAAGAATGTGCACACGAATGGAATTGGATCTTTGGCGATTCGTATCCAGTAAGTTCATATTCGACTTGGACATTTAACAAAGGTTAAACACTCGGTGAATAGGGTGCGTTCATGTGACATCACAGCGTTCCACAGAGCCTATGGTGTAGCATTGGTGTGGAGGCAGTTGAAAAGTCTCTCCTGGTAACTATATGGTGAGAGTAATCACCATATTCAACTAATGTCTCTGTAATCCCTGAGTCAGACATGAAACGTTGTCTTTGTCAGCACAGATCCACTATGGCCTCATTATTTTCCCATAAAGGGTCAAGAAGTGGTGACAATGATCAAAAAATCATTCTTGATGCTGGTGCGTATTAGTCAGACAAAATAATATGATTTTGAGGTTTGTGAATCTAACATCAAATGATCAAATAATGGTCTGGGAAAATGTTTTATTCTTTTTCATCATGTACTCTAAATGTTTAAATGTCTTTTAACTCAGACAATGATACAATTTCTCCCCGTCTTGTCTTGTGGAACCAATTTATATCCATTCCCAAACAACTAAAATCTTTATCCTTTTGGATTAAAAAAGATCATGCCCTGGTTAAATGGAAAAAATTACTTGTTACTTTGCATAAACAAATCAACACATTTCATATTGATCACGATTCACACCTGTTGTCCAAAATAATTATTCTCTTTTTGTTCATAATTTTCAAAGAGCAAAGAGTAAGTAAATAAGTAATCATTATTTATATACCGCCTTTCACAGATCAGAGTCACAAAGCGGTTTACAATTGTTATTTTTGGGCATTTGTCTCTCACTCCACAGAGATGGGAGCGGGGCCAGTACAGGAGGCACATGCCAGAACTATTGTACATATTTTTAGTGGTAGGGGAAACCGAAGTACCCGGAGAAAACCTACGCAGACACGGGGAGAACATGCAAACTCCACTTAAAAAGGCCCTGGCAAGAGTGCTATCCACTCAGCCACCGTGCGGCCCAAAGTGCAGTTTGCATCACAGTAGAGAGCAAAAACCACAACACTATAAGAGGTAAACGTGATTTTTTTTAAATATAAGACAAAAAGTTGTTTTTTCCAATATACATGTTTTTTCTACAAAAATAAGTCTGTATAAGTCTGTACAAGCCGTCCCACCTACTGTACAGACCACTCCTATAATCAGTTGATCCTTATGCTGAACAGACCTTTTCTTTCCTTGTCATTAGCTGCTCTCAAAACACACTCAGATGAAGACATTCTGTTTGATCTGCAGGAATTTCTCTCTTCCACATCTCCAGCTCTGCAGTCCCGGACTCCACTCACAATGTGCCGCTTTAAAAAGGAACGGGTGCCTATTGAGAACTGACCCTCCAAAGTCTCCCTGGACCCCTTTTCAGTCCCCCCTTTTTTACTGGAGAGGAGGCTGAGGGGCGAACACTGGGCTCCACTGTGTGCAGTTGATGCCATTGACGAGACGCACAATGTCCTGCTCCTTTACAGTAGAGAGGGATGGAGAGAGGGGGAGGGAGAGAGAGAGGGATGGAGAGAGGGAGGGGGCGAGAGAGAGGGGGAGGGAGAGGCCTTTTTCCACCTATTTTCCCCATCAGCCTGCTGCCCCAGTCCGGATCGGCTCCTTCAGTCCACCAAACAAGGACAAATCGAGCGCGAGTCCTTCAGCGCCTGGCAGTAACCGCTACACTGTAAAAAACTACATATGCAGTAAAACGACATTATTGACTTTTGTTTGTGAATTGAGCAATTTAGATTTAGATAGATACTTGATGGATTCCACGTACTGTAGGAGAAGTGCAGGTGTCCAGCAGCAGAAACACATCCATCCATGCAAACACAAAGGTACATCAATTCTACATCAAAGCCGAAGGAAAAAGCAACAGTATAAAATGCCTAATCTGAAATACTATTATACAATATCATGTATACAAGTTTTTATGTATTTGACTGTAAATAGCTGGACTGCGCTAACCCCTAGAGCAGACTGGCGCTGCTCCTGATTGGCTGTTGGTTGCTATGTCGTTGCCGTCCTTTTTCCTTCCCTCATCGCTTTCTTCCGCAGTAAGGCAAACACTATGGCTGACGTCATCGCTCGACTTGTCTATTCCTTCTACGGTCCCAAGATTATACCCGGGTTGAAATGCGGTGTTGTCCTGGGAAAGGCTGCTGTGTTGTTTGGACCCGTGATTGCTTGTGTGGAAGACTGGAACGTGTAAAAATCTAAGTGTCAAAACAAACTTCCACCTTTTGAAAATCTTCTTCCAAAGTAGCAGTGCATCCGAAACCCCAGGGACTCAATTGTTAATATACATACTGTACTTCACATACTTCCTTATTAGTAAGAGCAGCGCATGCGACATAGATAATAAGTAAAAGTATTGACCCACGTGTGACTTAACAAAAGCAACAGGCTCTAAATTACCGCTATATTTGGTGCTCACTGAACTCACCTATAAAAAAAAAAAAACTAACTCACGTGGCAGGTTAAATGGGAAGTGCTTTTGACCCACCAGCCCATGCCACTCAGTTTGTAAGCAAGAGGATTTTTTCTCAGTGAGGAAAAGTCCATTGTTTATTTTGGCAAATTTAAAACTGATTTTTGAAGGCTTTATTTGTATTTGATCATAATAAAAATATTCAAATAATTGTAGACATAAACACGTATATGTCTGTTACAATATAAAAGTTGTGCTATATACTGAACCACTGTAACTCAAGCCTCTGTGGTCCTTTTCTGCAGTGTGCTGAGACCCCCTCGGGACCCCCCTGTCCTCCTCCTCCCCTCGCTCTCACTGTTCCCGCTCACTTTATCTTTTGTACACTATAAAAAAAACACCATCTGAAGGCCTTTTCTTTATTTTCACTTCTTCTTCTTCCTCATCTTCTTCTTCTTCATGTCCATCTTTCAACTCCTTCCCACTCTGGCCCCGGCTGGTGAAGTGGCAAATGCAGGAGGTGAGCGGGCTAACGAACACAGCCCTATGAAAGCCCTTTATCCGGAGCCTTTGAATGGGGATCTGTGATAGAAGTGAAAGCACATTATCTGGCGCCCCGTCCCGTGTGTTCTGTGGCAAGCAGATCAGTCAGAGCTTAGGACAGCGGCTCTGTGGAGGAATGATCACCGACTGACACTGCTCCTGGAGAAAAGAAAAGCAAGGAATATATTTGTGGCTGCAGTTTGGATAGATGATTAATCTTAACATCGTGGGTGAAAGAAATACATTCTTTTCAAATAGATTCAGCACATTTCAAGCATGCTAATGAGTCATATACATCTGTTATGTGCATGTGTGGAGTTTATACAAGCACTCATTTTGATTCCAAATCTGAAATTGGGACTTGGGATTGGAACTATGTGGGCACGATGAGGGTCCTGCCACGTAGAAAGATTTGAGTCATGTCTATACGTTTTTAGTTAACGGTGCACTGTTGTAAGGTTTTTTATGGGAATTCTTAATCTTAGAATGGATGGGAAGCAACAGGGATGAGTCTGGTCAAAATACTAACAGATATGTACAGATTCTTGGCTGTTTTTATTATTCTATTTTCTGTTCCGTTTTAAGTATGTTCTTAACGTTTGGCCTTGAGATTTATAGCCCACCAAACACAGCTTAAAACTTAAATGAGGACTTAAACTAAGTACCTCTGCTTTTCAAACCACATTTTGACATTTTTTAGATCAGCATTTTGGAAAGAAAGGCTAATAACAGGGGACCACCCTCGCTCAGCCAATCATCTCTAAGCCTAAAGTGTCCAATAGCGACTCTTTCACAAGCGTACGAAAAACACAATGTTTTCTAATAAGATGGAGACAGCATGTTGTGGTCTGAACTATTTTCAACATTTCACAAAACAATTCTCTGTCGTCTGTAGGAAACCACTCAATACACTGCCTCCATGTTCATCTGTAGGAACTTGGGAGTTATTTGTTTCCGTGGGGAGAAAAAGGCCAGCCGCACAATCAAACAGCAGGTCCAGGAGAGGCTTATTCAGACCTGAGCACCGTTTGGGCCCACCTGTCCCCCTCCCTCTCTCCATCCTCACTGCTTCAGACAGAACAGGCCTCAGAGCTGCCTTTATGGCCCCTGATCACACACACAGACCAGGAACCACTTGAAAGCCTCCACACAGCGCCTACAGGACGTCCTGCGCGGTCACTGGGCCTTTTACGTGGCAGTAATAGTAATTGTCTGATTGCTTTAACGTTTGAAAACAGGTTAATACAAATAGCAGAGGTCCTCATCAATAAGTTGGAGTGAAATTCTCCAGTGAAATGAAAAGCAAATGGAAGCAGTCCTCCTGGAAAGATTCAATGTTTATATGATTCAAGGCTTTTGTTATGTTTTGGGCTAATCCTTGTCAACCAACTATCACGAGCAACATGCATAACTTTAAGTGCACATAACATGCACAGTATTGTATTCAGTATTATCTTTTCTGAACCTGGAAACTATTTCAATCTTGGACTCAAGACAAAGATTGCATAGGAATGATATTTATTGGTCTGTTTGCATGATAATTGACCCGACAGACGTATGAGGAGGTACTGATACATCTATGGCATTTGAACATTAATGATTCCTCAAGACAATTAGACCCCTGCTTGATGTTTGCAGGAGGGAATTCAATAGAGATTTTATAGAGCGTGCGAACTCCGGGCCTAAACCCTGCATGGTGGTGAAGGAAGCTGAGCCGATGTCTGATTTTCCACTGATGGGGTTGCTGCACGAACAGCAGCTTGACGTGAAGACTGAAAAGCTCTGGTTAAATGCAGCCATGAAGTGATGGAGCACAGCTGTGTGACTGCAGCTGCGGCGGATTGGTTGATGGGCTCAGGTGCAGGTGTGTGGCAGAGGGAGGAGTCAGTGTGGAGCGCTTCGAACCAGTCTCCCAGACACAAAACATACTCATGTGTTAGAATGGCCCAGACTTATAACCCGTGGAAAGATCTAAAAGCTGCTGTGGGTTGGAATTGTTT